TTTTCAGTATATTTTTTCTCTACACTACACTATATTAAGTTGATGTATTGCCTAATTTAAGATCGTGTTTATAATCTACTTATTTATTTGATTTAGAAATGTAACAGGAGTGGGCTAGAGGTGGTGGCGCATGCCTGTAATCCCAGATGCTGAGGCAGGACACCTGCAAGTTTGAGCCCAGCCTGGGCCACTCAATGACTTAGCAAGACCCTTTCTCAAAAAAATAATACATAAAAGCTGAGCATAATATCCTGGTGCCAAAGCCCTGGGTTCAATATCTAGGACAAAACAGACGAAACAACAAAGACAGGAACATGTTTTCTCCTGCTCCCACACAGAAGCAGCCCATGTTAGTAGTGTCCACTGTCAGAAGCAGTGGCCAGGGTTTGAGTTTCCTCTACCACTTGAGGCTGCCATACTCTCTGGATTTTCCTTGCCAATAGAGGCATCTTTTTCTCGCCCTAGTAAGGCAGACATTTTGTTTCTAACCTATGGGTGTTGAGCTCGGTTAGTCATGAAAAAGTTTTAAAAACCCCATTTTGTCCTACATATACATTAAAAAAATCCAGATTGGTGGACTTCATGTTTCCAGTCACTTGGAAATTTTAGGAATATTGTTTCCACCATGATGGCAAATGCTTCCATTATGTTGGCCCAGTTTCTAACTGCTAGCAAGTTAAAATGTGTCAGCTTAAATGCCTCCAGCTCAGATCTGAACACATTCTCCTAGGCAAATTGTAGTTCATTTGTTTGTTTATAAATTAATATAGAAATACCATTGTTTAGAAAATAAAGACCTTTCTGCTGTTAAGTGGAAGAAGGTAGTGCGTATCAATGATACTTTATTCTTTCTTAGTTTTAACTAGTGATTTTTATCATAAAATATCATTGTCAAAAATATTAGTAATCATTTCAAACAAAAAGGAGTGATGTGTGCTTTTAAACTGGCTTTGTTTTTACATTTTTAATATATAAATTTTTTTATTTTATTTTTTTTATCGGTACCTGGGGTCAAACTCACGACCGCCTGCTTGCAAGGCAGGTGCTTATGCCGCTGAGCTAAATCCCCAGCCCCCTAAAATGTTTTTTAAAATTGCATTTTAAAATGTACATTTTTCATACTAGTGAGTTTTCTTGAAACACAGTTGTGTGAATTTTACATGTATAAGACCAGAAGGAAAAACTGATTAACAGTGAAGCCAGCGTGTGAGTGTGTGTCTAGCTTGGAGTCCCACACCCTGCCCCAGCGCTGGGGAGCCTCCTGTCACAGTGCAGGTCTCGCCCCTCCCCAGGCTCTACTGTTCTGCTCTGGATGCAGAGCTGTTCCTGCTAAAGCAGATGAGGCATCCTGGCTGGAACTTGTACTAATAGTAAGCCTGAACAATAACTGTAAGTCCTAAACATACACATTTCTTTCTGAGATACAGACCTTGAATTTTATTTTTAATCACAGCAAGTTACAATAGAGCTCTAGTTTTAGCACTGTAAAGAATAACTTTGGCCTTCCTAGAGTTCTTCAGAGAGCTATTTGCTTTAAAATATCACACAAAAGTAATTATCTTTGGGTTTGTTTTTGTTGTTGGGTTTTTGTTTTGCTTTCTGATGCAAACTCCAAGTCAAAAGAAAAAGAATGGAGGCTAGAGAAGATGAAATTGGGCTTGAATAGCTGCAAGGAGAATGTATTACCTAATGAGTCAACACTGGGCTTTTTTTCCTGGGAGTTTTCTACTAAGAAGTAAAATTCATATGCTGATATGGTAATGCGTGATAGCAGCTAGTCAGCACACCAGTAACTTTAAAATTTTATTGCATTCTTCCTAACATCCTCAGTGGCCTCAAAATTTTTATGTTAAAATAGATCAAAGAATTTCACTTCTTTTTATTCTTTGTGGTGAAGCCTATAGATTAGAAGGTGAGTAAAGTTACTCAAGGAGAATGTTATGCCTTAAATGATGATTCCTATTAAAAGGTGTATCTTTGCTACATTGTTACAATTTTTAATTAAGTTATGATTTAGTACCTTATACCTGTTGCTTTGTATCTGCAAAGTTAAAATAGGCACTTGAAGACAATTAAAACATTTCTTTCAACTAGTAATCTGGGACAGCAAACTGGGTTATAATAGCTGTTGAATCTGTGTTCCCATGTAAACTGTACACCAAATGCCAGTCAGCCCATGCCAATTAGTGCTCATGTTGCTAGGTCACCATGGTCAATTGAAAGCTGCATCAATAGAACTTGAAAAGGTTTCCTCCCGATCAGACCTTCTGACATATTGAACAGAATAATGGATGGGAAAAAGCAGCCAAGTCCCCTACCCTGGATTCAAAATACTCAGCAGTAAGAATTCATTTGCAACCTGCAATTAACTAGAAAGAATGGATTCCAAGAACAAGTCTGGACAGTCTAAAAAAGCCTCATTCTCTTGTACATATGTATTCTGGATAGTATCAAAAATATAGCCAACATGATGATTTTGGATCCAAATATTCAAATGAATGAAAAGGCAGTTTCACAATTGAAAATAAACAAACTGTTTTAAAAAGCCAAACCTGATTCAGTTGCATTTGAAAATCCTTTTTAATAAATACAGATATCTTGTGAAATACATTTGACTGTACCAGATACAAGAAACATGAAGGCCTTCCCGATATTGTACATCGCACGTGGCTGACCTAGGCATATCAGATTGGGGCTTGGAGATGATGCCTGCCAGTGCCAGGGCTTCCTGCTGTGTAACAAGCTGGACTTAAAATGTACACATGGTTCCCTTCCACAGAGGTGTTGGGGCTGAGCCACTGCTGCCATGGAACCGGATGCTCCAAACCCAAAACGCAGCTTTCCAGCCAAATCAGTACCAGATGCTAGCTGGTCCTGGTGGGTATCCGCCCCGGAGAGATGACCGTGGAGGAAGACAGGTAATGCAGTGTGGACTGTGGGCAAAAAGCTTCCTGCTAACTTTGTATGTCAGCATGGTTTGCAGGACGCAGCATTTTGTCTTATTTCTGGAGAATGTGTCAGTAGAGTAGCTCAGCTGAACTTGTGTCCTTTACTGACCACGTATGTAAGTATAGTATCTGCCTCCCCAGACTTATACCCCAAGGGCCCTGGAGAAGTCCAGCCCAGAAATCCTTTTAATCACAGTAGTCAGTGCTGAGTAGCACAAACACAAGACAGTCACTAAAAACATACTGTTTTCTGTTTAAGGGAAAACTGTGCTTTAACAGAAACTAGATCCCTTATAACATAGAATTTTCTAGAAGCTGAAAGTAAAATCTTCCAGTTGAATTCTGGCATTTATTCATCCTACAAGTCTGTGGTCTTGACTTCTCAGTGATATCTCACCACCTGGAAAGATTTTGCACATGTTTTTTACTAAATGGTGCTAGCCATGTCACTGAATGAGGATCACATTTCATAGATAGCTCGCATAATATAAGCGTAGTTTTCTTCTCGTTTGCATCCAGTTTAGAAACATTTAAGGCTGAGGTCTGTTTAACATAATTTTCCCGGCCAGTTTGGCACTCTGGCTAGTGTTTATTTGCTCTTTGATCAGATCCTTGCTGGAAAACAGAATTGGTAAGCCGAGATTCAGAGTGTGTGCTGTCTGTGGAGTTTGGCTCCCACAGTTCGGTAGTTTGTAAATTGCTTACCTGGTGTTGCCCACTGGCCTTCTGCTGTGCTTTGTATATTAATTTTATACTTAAGTTTTTGCCATGAATCCCTTTTAGTGTAAAACTTTCCTTCTGACAGCTAAGGAAAATTATTTTTTATGGTTTTTATGTGTTTTCACAAGTCTAGACCCTTTATAAAATTCACCTTAATTGCAGATTTTAATGCTCCTTGAGGATTGTGTTATAGTTCGTTAAAATCAGTTTATAGCATTTTACTTTGAATCCTTTCAACCCAAGACCTCTAAAAGTCACATCTGTAAGTTGAGGCTATCTGTGCCACTGAAGTCTAGACAGCACTAAACAATTTAAATGTGAGCATTTTTAAAATAAATACATAACTGACAGAAACCTTGGAGAATGTTAAGTCCATTCACCTCATTTTCCAGGTCATGAACTAAGAGCCCAGCAGTGTGGCAGCAGAGGTGGGGGACTGGCTGCCTGGACTACTGGCCAGGTCCGCATCTTCCTCCCTTCTGCCAAGAAGCTTCCCTTTCAGTGAGCTCTGCTGGCCTAGGAGTTTAGCTTAGGGCATGAGTGCTTGCGTAGCATGCACTAGGCAGGGAGGAACCCTTTTCTCTAGGGTATTGTGGTTCTAGATACAAAACCCTGAGGCTTCACAGTACTGGCCAAGTACAGTGCCCCTGAGCTGTGCACCAGTCCCTAGATGGGAGGTTGTTACAGAAGGGCTGTTACATTTATCTTGTATTGTGCAGAAATGTTACAAGCATACTAGGATATATGACACATGTCACCACTTATATGATAACCTTAAGTTTATCACTAAAGCAGAAAAATTTTTTCCTTGATTGCCTAGTAGGCCTAGCTGACTCAGCAGGCTCTAACAGAATGACTTTCCTAGCCACTCAGTTACTTGAATTACTGTTTGGGATGGTAGGAAAATTGAGAACCACTGTCTGTACGTGTTGTTTACATAAAGCATTTTGCTGCTGTTCATTCGTGTGTTTTGAGGAATTTCTTTGGTGCAGTGATGGCTTGTTTGGTTAGTTTTCAGTGATGGCTGTTGGGCTACTTACAGCCCTGCAAGCTTATGTTAAGATTCTGCATTCCAAGTAGCTACTTACAGACGCCCATGTACCTTAAGACATACTTAGCTTCTTTATGATATGTTTTTTTTTAACCAAGATGTAAAATTAATTTCTATGCAGGAGTTTTAATCCACAAAATAAACACTTTGTTTGCTTTATTTTCAGGGATATCCCAGAGAAGGAAGAAAATACCCTTTGCCACCACCCTCGGGAAGATACAGTTGGAATTAAGCTTTTGTAAAGCTTTCCCAAATCCTTTCATCATTCTACAGTTTTATGCTATTTGTGGAAAGATTTCTTTCTCAAGTAGTAGTTTTTAATAAAACTACAGTCCTTTGTGTATTTCTTTTAACTGTGTATATTTGTACTGATCTGATCTCACTGTTTTATGTTGCTTTCCAAAGACGTGTGTTGCATAACACAGTGGATCTGAATTTATAATTGCTTGTAAAACACATTTGATGGAATTAGTACTGGTTTTTCATTATGGTTAAAAATCAAACTAGCTGTGGACTTCAAAACACAGTATATTCTAGATCATCTAAGATCCATGCTGATTTTTAGTGCACAGGAATTAGGTATGAGCTCTTTGAGCTGGAACCCTCGCAAACTAGAGTATATATTGTTCTTTGGAAACAGTTCATTAATGTACTTGTCTTACAGAAATTTCTGGGCTTTAATAAAAAAATAAAGTTAAACTTTAAAAGTTCTAGCATCCTGTGTTATTTGACAGTATTTCAGCTTTGAAAATCTTTTTTTTTTTTTTGTTCTATACCAGGGATCAAACTCATGACCTCATGCTTGCCAGGCAGGCGCTTGTGCCACTGAACTAAACCCCAGCAGCTTTGAAAATCTTTAGTAAACACATTAGCGTTTGCAGAAATTAGATGTCACAAGCAAGTCAGTGAAATCATAAAGAAGATGCTAAACCCCCATACTGGGGCCTAAACCCAGAGCCTTCATTCTGGGTGCATTCATCCCCTGCACTTTATATTCTAGTAGTAGTAGTAGTAGTATTTTGGAGACAGGATCTTGCTAAATTGCCCTGCAGGGCTCAATTTACAGTCCTCTTGCCTCAGCCTCCCAGGATAACAGGACGTGCCACTATGCCCAGCTAAGTGGAGCTTTTAAGAGGATGTGGCCAGCAAGACAATCAAACTAAAGTCTTAGAGTTAGTTGTTTACATTTTTATAAATTTCACACAGACATGTTCCTGTTTTAAGGATTTGTGCCAAAATCTTTAAAAACTTGAAAATTTTAATTTATAGCTACATTTAAAAAAAAAAAAAAACTTAAAAAAAAATGATCCTCGGGGGCTGGGGATTTAGCTCAGCGGCATAAGCACCTGCCTTGCAAGCAGGCGGTCGTGAGTTCAATCCCTGGTACCGATAAAAAGTTAAAAAAAAAAAAAAAAAAACTTAATTTATAGCTACATTTTCTATACGCTTCAGTATTTTTAAATGTTCATAGATTTGTTCGTTTTTGCTGGCTATTAAGCACACTATATTCCTTAAGTGTGTGTTTGGAATTCACATACAGCACCTTTATGTGTATTTGCATTTTGATTTTATTACCAAAACAAACTTGGATCCTACATGTGAAGGCTTGCTTTGTCTCAGTCTTTCCAACCTGGCCTAAGTGTAAGATACCTGTGACCTTCTGATTTAGCACATTTTTGTGCTAATACTCAACTTAAATGCACTTGTTAATCTTTGTTTCTGTGGGGAAGATGACTCCTGCCTTGAAGTATTTTGGAGCTAACGAGGTCACTGCTAGTGATGGACTAACACCACAGCACCCTTTGCTCACTGATAGAGGTCTCCATGAGGAATCGCCAGCATCATTCTGTGTTACCTCCACTCTGGCAGGTGATAATGCTGTCTGCGGTGGAGTTTATCTTCTCAGTATTTAAAATGAATAGCTTGTAAAAAAAAGCACTGAATATTTGACAAGGAGCCCTTGAGTATCTTCCTGTTTTGGGGGTACCCACCACCCTTTGTATCTTACCCCAGACCATTAGTTTGAGTTTAATTTTAAGCCTTAGTTAGGGTGCCTTTAATTTGGCTTTTGACTGCTGAGTGTTTTCAGAGGGAAATGGGTCTTTTGCCAGTGGGGAGGGAACATAAAGAGTTATGTTACATGTATCAAGTCCCCGCGGGGAACGTAATCGTTACTGCAAACGTGAACTAATGAAAATTAAGTATTCCCAGGCGTGGAGGCCCGGTCTGGAGCAGCTCCTCCGTGGAGCAGGTGGGTGTACTCAGCCCCTCAGGTCCTGCCGCGCCAGTCCTACTTGCTGAGGCTTCTGCTCAGCAGCGCGGCCCGCATTGAATCTGCAGAAAAAGGTCCCGTTGTTCCAGGCGGTTGGTCTTGGAACTTTAAGGTGAGATGTTTATCACTACAAAGTAAGTGGGCCAGCTTTTCGTGGCTGCATGTACTTTAATAGGGAGCATTTTTCAGGGCTCCACAGTACAAGATTTTTTAAAACTTTAGAACCCGGCGCAGCCCGCTGCGAGCAACTGACCTCCCCATGGGCGGAGACGCGGCAGAGAGCTAGTTCCCGCCGTCACTCCGAGTTGGAGGCTGGCGGAGGCCAAGGTCTGGGCAGGGTGGAACCGCGGGGTGCCACGCTGCTAGATCGTGGTGCTGCAAGGTCGCTAGTCCAGCCCTCTCGCGGGGCTTCCATTGCCCCGCAGTTTCTCACCCACCCAGCATCACGGACTCCGCGCTCTGCCTCTACAAGCGCAGAACCTGTAGAAAACAACGGAAATGTTTTTTTCCCCAGGCAGAAGCTGCGGTAGCCGAATTCAGCTAGGTTGGAAACCTAAAATCTGGCTTCCTGGCTCCCGCAGCATGGTTGCCTACCCTAATCCTAGCTCGGACCTGATCCGTTAGACACTTCCTGCCCCCTGGGTCAGGGGCATGAGATCCTGGCAGACTGTTGAGCAAAAGGGCAGCGAGTGAAAGAAGTATCAAACGGCCCACTCTCCACGGGTGTTTCTTCCACTCAGGCCTCAGTCCAACACACGGGGGTTTGCTTGCTCTTTACAGTGTATGGAGAGGATGCAGATCAAGGGCGAGCACTCTTTAATTCGGATGAGGGAACCACAGCAGTTCACCACTGCGTGAGTGAGGCGACTTTCAGGGTTATGGTGTTATCAGAAGTCACCTCGACAGTGACTAAAATACATTTTAAACATGAAGGCACTGCATTTCACGGGGGTATGTTTTTAAACCAAAAACAAAACCATAAAACCTCTCTCCCAGGAACTTCAGTTATCTCTAAACTTAAAAAAAAAAAAAAAAAAAAGTGATCTTGAAACCCCAGAGCAATCTCAGTACTTACTGGGGCCGGCACATTCCTGCCAAGGGGGATACAGGTCCGTCTAGGCATCTTCTAGACGTTTCCCAGTGCTCACAAGTGGTCACTAGCAGTAAAAGGTTACTTACATTTTATAAAACATGTCCTGTCCCATCTCACTGCGTTTGGGATGCCAAGTAACCTTTTCAAAAACCAGACCTAAATAACACACACACACAGGGCTCCCTCCACACACCATTAGAGAACACATCCATGCTTGGAACTGCATCTGAAATTATGTGGTCACCACAGAATGCATTATTTTCTCACATGCACAAACTGTAAAAATGTAATCACTGCATCTTTATGGATAACAAATTTCAGTCTTTCTAAATCATCTCTATTCAACGCATTCACAAAGCAAGTCTATGGAAGGTGCTTGCATTCAGTGAACAGGACTGAGTCTCTGATTTGCTTTAAATTGAAAGTAAACAGTGGCTAGCAGAATGGAGTTTGAACACAACATCTGTGTTGATAGAAGTCTGATTGACTACTTGTTTTGACCTTTAGGCTGCGGTTCTAAGCACAGCCTTAAATAGAAGACAACTGGGTTCCACCCTCACCCTCCCATAGACAAACACCCTTCTTGTGTGCTCCAAAATGGCACACACACTCACACAGACTCTTCAATTTACATCCCAATGCAGATTAGAGAAAGTACCTGCAGTCCTGCTGGTCCTCTCTGCAACTCTGATCCTGGGTTTTGGTTTCCGCGCCTCAATGGGAAAAGATAAGTTAGATCCCAAGACAGACGGGAGAATGTCACACCTGCAGTTAGCAATTCTGAAACCAAGGTTTGCTGTGGCCTCTGCTAAACTTTGAGGGGCTTTGTCCCTCTCAGCCCCTGCGCCAGTCTTCCCTCTTGGATGTGGAGACACTTATCCCCCTCTTCAGTTAATGAGTTTCACCTAGTCTGGCCTGGCCGTTTGCGTTTTTATAAAAGATCTGCAAAGCACTAGCTGAAAAAGAAAAAAAAGCTCTTGCTCTGCATTAATCACAGATAGAAATCTATAGTAAAAACTTTTCTTTTACTGTTTCAGGAACCAAACCTTTTCCTAATTTCAGGATATGCACACATAAAACACAATCTCTGGGTGTAAAATGGTAAGCTTTCTGCAGTAATTACTTCTGGCTTAGGTCTTTCACTAAAGGAATGCTGAAAGAAAAAAAATATGGCTACACTAAGCACACTTGCAGAAAATATTGAATAAAACTATTTTCCTTGATATTTTTACATAGTTCATCAATTTAAGGGAACCTTTGTACTTTTTTTTTGGTCAAGAGAAAACTGTCCATGAAGACTAATTTTCCTTTAAAAAATTACTGCGTGCTCTTGGGCCAAAAGCCATTATTGGTTTTATACGTACCAGGATGTTCAAAGAAAAAAATTGCAAACATGTTTTCTAAAATTAATACAGGATCTAACTGCTATAAATGAGCATTTTAAACTCTTGGCATATTAATGATAGTTATGCTATCTTGATTAACATTTCTTTGTGAAGTAAATCCATCAATACACAAAAACCCCAGGTAGAGGATTTTTCTATAGATTTATTGTATCATTTTAATACTAGTTTGCCTGTTGAAATTATGTAAAACGTTTTAAAAAATTAAATCTCATTTTCCAAAAATGCAGTCACTCCTTGGTAAAAGGCAGTCTCTTTGCTTCTTTTCTCCTCTGTGAAAGAAACGAAGTTTAAACAAAGAGCATTTGCTTTATAAAACAGAAAGTGCAAGTTTAACCTCTATACTTTCCTATGGATTCATTTTGCACATGGAGAAAAATTTTCAAACAAAGAAATGAAACGAAATGTTTCAGTCCCAAACTGTTATTCTGAACTCTAATATAGAAGAGGTTTGGGATCTCTGGTAACTTTGTCAGCATTTGTAAACTGTGCTTTAGTCATTTTATTTAACTACATTTTATAAACACATTATTCAGCTGCTTCAATATTTCCCCTTCAACCCCAGTTATTTAAATCATGAGTAAATTGGGCTAGGTTGTCACATCATGCCAACTAGTGCTTTTTAAAAAGTCACAAGCTCCTATACACTTTATAAAAAAGAAATGACCACTTGAGTTTTATGAAAAAGTACTTAAGGTTCTTTTAAATTATATTTAAATATTCATTTGAAACATAGGAAATACAAATTGGCATAGTAAATACATTATTTATACAATAAACACCAACAAAATCGGTGCAACTATTAAGTTCTAAATATGATGGAAAATTATAAATATTTTGGTTACTCTTTATTACAATTCAATAAATCATGTTATTCTTTCTTCACATGCTTTCAAATATAGGTTGATGTCAACTTTAGCAATTTTGCTTGCTTCAAATTCGGACAAAAATACCTTAAAAAGAGTCAGTACCATGTCTACAGAACGACGGGGTATATTTATCAGTAGAGATGGAGAAACCTGCTTCCATATAAAAAGTACAACCCTTCCTAGGATGAGCTTTGCCTTAGTGGGGGAAGGGCTCTTTTGCAGAATAATACAAACACTAGGTTGACAATTATGAAGACCTTCTGAAATCAGCATTTTAAACGCTATATTGAGCCATATAATTTGGTTTCTTTTCAGTCTGTTGCGCTATTTTACCTAAATGGCAATAATTCCTCTGTGATAATGTTCCTATGTGTACGACCCTATGATCCACCTCGAGTCACAATTCAACTTACTTTGAAACATTAATGAAATTGCACTTAGGGGGTGCCCTTCGAAAATCAATCTCCCAAGATCAATTTCGCGTCGGAAAGGACTGACTGTTGAAGCTGGGTTGATTTTGAGAGCTACAAACACCAACAAAGTTTCCAACTTTTAAAACTTGCTCTCGGGTTAGGAACTTGGTGCCCGAGGGCTCCGCCAGCGTTTCCGGTATTTAGCAACTCCTGGAAGCGGGAGATCGCGATCGCCACCGCCAAGCCTGGTGGCAGCGCCGGGCCCCGGGGAGCCGCAGTCCCCGCCCGTGCCAGGCGTCATCCCGGGCCCTCGGCACCGCGGGTCACCACGTCCTGCCATAGAGCAGGTTGGCGCCCAGCACGCCCCCGCTGTAGTCCGCGGCAGCCGCGTCCAGCGCCATCCCCGCCGCCGGCCCGTGCAGCGCGGGTGGGCTGGGCGACAGCTCCTCCAGTTCGGGCGTGGGCGGCGGGCCTGGCGTGGGCGCCCCACTCCCCGCGCCGTTCTGACACGGCTTGCCGTCCTTGACCAGCACTGGCACGGCCACGCGGCGTGGCGAGGGCGGTGGGGGCGGAGGCGGTGGCGGTGGGGGTCCTAGGCCGGCCTCCTGCTGCAGCTGCTGTGCCGCCTTGTTTTTGGCCTGCCGCTTCATCTTGTAGCGGTGGTTCTGGAACCAGATCTTGACCTGCGTGGGCGTCAGGTGGATCATGCTGGCCAGGTGCTCGCGCTCAGGCGCCGACAGGTACTTCTGCTGCTTGAAGCGCCGCTCCAGCTCGTACACCTGAGCCTGCGAGAACAGCACGCGCCGCTTCCGGCGCGGGGCGGCGGCCGCGTGCAGCGTGCCCAGCGACTTGGCGGCGTCGGCGATGCCGCTCAGCGAGCCCACGCCGGCCACGTTCACGCTCGCCGACGGTCCCATGAACCTGGAGACTGGGAGGGCGAGGGCGGCCGTGAGCGCGGGTCCGCGGGCGCCGGCGCCGCCGGGGCCGGGGCCAGGGCCGGGGCCGGGACCGGGGCCGTCGCACTCGCCGCCTCCATCCGGGACCCCTCACCCGCGACGGCGCGAACGGGCCGGGCCCCCAGCAGCCCCCGCGCGCCTCAGCCCAGGTCCCAAGACCCCCCGCGCCTTTCTAGGAGCCCCGCGACGCCCAGGCCGAGTCCCAGGACCCCTCGCGCGCCCGCGCCGCGCTTGGGGAGGGAAATGCCTGCGCCGCCGCCCGGCCACCCTCAGCCCCCGCTCACTTGAGGAGTAGCGCGGGTCCGCGTTGGCGCCGTACCAGCCGGTGGCCGCGGCCGCCGCGCCGCCCCGCATGCCGTCTGCGTAGCCGGGCAGCTCTCCCATGTTGCCCAGGCCGCCGTTGCAGTAGCCGCCCATAGCGCCGTGCGGGAACTGTGAGACGCCCGCCGGCATGTGGTAGGTAGCGGCCGCCGCCGCAGCCGCCGCTGCCGCCGCCGCGGCGGCCGCTGCATTGTGCCCAGCGACGGCGTGCGGCGCCTGCATCCCCGCCTGCGGGGCCGGCCCGGGCGGAGGCGCGCGGTAGGCGGCGGCTGCGGACCCCAGCGGCGCCCCCAGGCCGGGCGGCGCGCCGTCCATGGTGCCGCCGAACTTCTTGTAGGTCTCCTCGATGGGGCTCAGGATGTCGGACACGGAGAAGGGCGTCGTGTGCTTGGGGCTCAACGACATGGCTCGGCGGGCGGCTAGGTGGGGCCCGGGGGCGCGGGCGGGCGGGACGCGGCGCCGCTCGTCGCCACCACCTCTGCGCGGTGCGGCCGGGCTGCGGAGCTGGGTTTATTTTAGTCCAGCGCCAGGTTTACGACAGCCTCGGGGGGCGGAGCAACATCCCGAACGGGCAGACAATGGTCATTGACACCCCCCAGGAACAGAGACGGCGAAGGTAAGGGGGGCTGCATGCTCCGGGAGGGTCTTCTTGCCGCCCGTCCTCGTGCGCGTCGCCGGGTGTCCGGCCCTGGAGCTCTGAGCAGCGTTCGTGGCCGGCGTTGGCCGCCTCCCGACCAGAGTTTCCCAAAGTGACTGGGAAGCGCCGTCCAGGATGACTGGGCGGGGGCGGCGTGTGCTAAGACAGGGAGGGGTGGCGTTGCGGGACTCGCCCCGGCCTCTCCAGCTGCCAGCCCCTCCAGGTTCCATCATCTAAAGTGTTTAAAAAAAAAAAAAAAGGCTCTTGGGTCGAACTATAAGAGCGCATAAAGAGAAGAGTTACAATGCCCGTCCTCTGCCATTGTAGGACTTCCTAATTTATGCATCTTTAGGTCTTTAAGCATCATTTTGTGGGCCACCCAACGGATAGCATCAAATTAGCTCGAGGTATCCCAATCCGAGGAAGAGAGAACACACACACACAGACACTGACACACACACAGATGCTAACTTGTAAGTATTCTGTGTTTACTCTGTGGGCATGGCAATTGAACAGGAGAAAGTGGATTTTTATTTTTATTTGGTAAAATGTATCGTGTTTATACCTATAAAGTTCTTTTATTGTTACCTTTCCTTCTGTGTTCTCCCCTCAACCCTCTTGATTTAGAATTTATTCTGTCATTACCCTGTTAGCAAAGATTTTAAAAAGCTGTTTGCAGTAGATCTTTTGTCGTTGTTGTTGTTATTGGGGGAAAAACTGTTTAAGGGATATGAAAGTGGAAGTAGAAATAAAGTGAAAGTGAATTTCTCTTGAAAAATACAAAGCCATAGTTAAAATGATGTAAAAGGAAAACTGCATCTTTTTTCTTTGTAAGTTTACCTGCATGACAAAGAAGAACTTGCACATTATGAATTCTGTGAGACAAAGAATTAGACAAAAGAAATGTGCGTAGCATATTAACTAAATTTTGGAAACAATCTTGCAACTTTAGAAAATTATAACAGAAATGAAAATACAATTTTTAAGTTTTCTTAGAAACTGGAGTAGTAGAAAGAACAGAATGATTTATTCATTGAGATTCTATTGTGTTTAAAAAGATGATGTATGAAAATTGTGGAAGTTTAACCTGTCAGCCTGCCATACAGTGAAGAACACTGTTACATATTCCTTTTTTCTGTTTGGTTTCATTTCTGTGGTTGGAATGTGATTTTTGTCTCACTGTTTTAATCATTGTTATGTTCATTGCATTGTAGTTTTTGTAAAGAATCTGTCTTTTCTATGGAGAAAAAGCGATATCGTCAGGAAGAAAGTGATAACTAGATGAGTACTTAGAGTGATATTTTAAAATACATGCTAAAGAATAAAATGTAATTACATGAATTGTTTATAAACATCGGTCATTGACAAAATTTAATATTGGCCTGGTTTTGATGTCATGCTGCTTTACAGGTCTTTTAGATCTTCTTCCTCACCTGCATTGGAATTGCCTATTTTTCCTAAATTAAGGATGCACAACTCGGATGTTTCCAAAAAGTCCAGTTTTTCTTTTTTAAAAAAATTGCATCACTTTAGTTGTGTTTATTAACTTAAATGAAAATAGTAGAAAGCAATTTTAAACTTTCTTCAAACAAAGGTAATGAACTATTTTATTTTTCAAGTTCGAACATTTCAAACAGGAAGCCATTGTCACAGTCTCTATGTTGACCAGGCATCCTAATTGAAAAAAATATTTCAATTATAATTTTTCTAGATGAATACTATTCACTGTTTTCAGGCTATAGATTTCATTTCACATTTTATTTATAGAACTTCAATTAGTCATTTATAAGTGGTTATACCAGAAGCTAAGCTTGCTTTTTAACTGCATTGGGTCCTATTATAAGTACATTTACATCTGAGAGATTCCCATGTTTAAATTAAAAGGTACTTTATCATATCTGAAGAATCTCTGCAGAGTCATTTTTTGACCCCTTAGAAGTAAACCAAATAGTCCTTCACTAAAGGTGCACAGCTCTGAGGGGAAAATTTTATAATCATCAGCATTTATTTCTGTTAATTATTTGTGTCTTACTTGAAATCGCATATCTGTAGGCTGGAAATGCAAGTATGTGAACAGATGGTTTTGAAAATAGAGATATTTTGGCAGGTGTATTTGTATAAAGACAGAAAAAAAATAATTTGGTTACATTTCATTTTTTATCAAATTGTCAAAATTGTGAATGGAAATTTAGATTTAGTAGATTCTTAAATACTGTCGATTAAATTGGATTTCACAGGAAATTATTTTATCAGGAATATTTTCTTGTTGTTTTTCTTAATGCTGGCACTCAGGGGAAAGCAAAAACAAATACTTTGAAAGTGAAATGAGAAGTCCCTCTGTCCTGCCTTCCAGTTTCCCTGCAGGCACACTGTGTAACCTACTGTTTCCAGATGGCCTGGGCATCTGAAGGCACACGATCATGTAATAACACAGAAGGTGAAGGCACACGATCATGTAATAACACTAAAGGTGGCATGTCCTGGGTGTGGTGTGGTGCCTCACTTTTAGCATTGATTAAGGATTACACTTAATACTGGAAACGTACTAAGGCTGTGGCAGATAAAATTTTCGTAAACTAAAAGATTATGTAGACACTCAACTTTTTGACAAAAGTGTGGTATTTACTGAAAATCTTTGATTTAATCTTTGGTTAACTTTAGGGACAAAAACGTTTGGCAAAATCATTCTACAGAAGGTGCTTTCCCAAGAGCTGGAATTTGCTATTGTCAGACAGCTCAACAGAGGGGCCTGAGGGGAGCCCAACCCTTCTAGCAAGATCTGCTTGAAGTGGAGTTCCAGCCAGCACTGAGGGAAAGCTTGTCTTCCTAGGGTAACAAGTAGATTGTCAATGTGTCCTGAATTTCCTCATCAGGACCGTGTTTATGGAAAACTGTGTTTGGTGCTCAAGGACTTAAGTTGGCTTTAGGGAAGGAGACATGTGCTACATTTGTAGTTAGCTTGAAATAGTTGTGAAATAATGAAATTTTCATGTTGTAGATTTAAAATATCTTTGCAGTTGGAAGGGAATAATGAATTCTGTCAAAGATATTACTATTGTATAGGAACATTTGAAGTTATAAACAGAAAACTGCTAGAGAGATGAAACAAAGTTTAAAGTTTTTGCTAATTTTTTTGCTGATTATTTTTAAAAGTTGCAGAGATTTTGCATTTTGTGAAGAAAATATGAAAGGGGCTGGGGATTTAGCTCAGTGGCATAAGTGCCTGCCTGGTAAGCACGAGGTCGTGAGTTCGATTCCCAGTACCAAAAAAAAAAAAAAAAAAAAGAAAAAAGAAAGAAAGGGTTACTGAGTCACAGAGTAACAGAAGTACACAATTACTAAAAGAAATTTAAAATAATTGAAATAAGCACTGGAAACAAATTTATGAGATTTACTTCACTATGACCCAGTATTCCTTTCATGTTTTCTTCACAAAATGTAGAATCCTCACAGTTCAACTACTCTTAAAAAAATCTTAAATCATCCTAAAAGTCAGATATTTTAGATTGAAAGTTGTTCTTTTCTGACCAATGAATATGTTTAAATTAACATAATTGTTAGTACTATCCAAGGATGAGTAGGTGTTAAAGATATCATCCTTGCCTACATAATCATAGTGAAGTTCAATGAAATGACGAAAAAAATAGAAAAAAAAAATCCCAAGAAACTTTCCCCATCGAAACACCATAACAGGTTTTTTTTTTTGGCTTTTTCCTTTTTGCTGGTACCAGGGATCGAACTCACGACTGCCTGCTTGCAAGGCAGGTGCTTATGCCGCTGAGCTAAATCCCCAGCCCCACAGTTTGTTATTTTTAAGCAGAGAATAACAGGCTATAATATGGAGTAAAAATTTGAAAGTTGTCCTATTTGTCATAATTCTCTCACACTAGTATTGTATGTTCAAGCTAGAAATTTAAATTTTTCTGTATTTTTTTTTTTTTTTTTTTGTCTTTTTCATTTTTATCGGTACCGGGGATCAAACTCACGACCGTCTGCTTGCAACGCAGGTGCTTATGCCGCTGAGCTAAATCCCCAGCCTCCAATTTTTCTGTATTTTAGAAGTTAATTTTTAGTACAATACATGATATGGGAAAGCAATAGTAATGTGGAAATATTTTAATTCTGAATAACAAGTTTACTTGTGTTTCACTTAGGTAGAAAGTTTAAAACTTAAAATCATGGCATTTCCATTTAACAGTATTTTTAGCATCTTTCATGTTTTGAATATCATTAAATGCTTCATAGGAAAAAAAAATCTTCAATTTTAAGTAAAATCATATTTTCATTGTGTAAGAAGCTGGTTGTCCTAAATGTGCTACCCTGTCTCTACATATGTTTAATAATAATAACTACATGTAACCTTTAAAAATATAAACTTTTATAATTTTTTTCACGTTATCAATGTTTGTAAGTCTAAGAATTCAGTGTCCTGTTAAAAATGTATCACCTTATAAGTACAAGTCAATTTGAAAAGGAAGTTATCAGCTGAGATAGGTAATTGTATTATTTGTTCCCATTATTTACTTAGACAGTAACTCCAGTTCTGATAAGTTGATTATCAGGTTATTGAAATTTTCCTATGTGCATTTTAGAAATAATATTTTAGAGGACAGTATTATAACTAGAGAATAATTTGGCAAATTTCATTTTGTATACTGAACAGAGAGGGTATATATGTCTGAACTCGAGAGTAGGAATTGTGTTTAAAAGGAAACACGACTTTGCATACACTAGGCAAGTACTCTACCAGTGAGCTATAGCCCTAGCATTTTAGACTTAAATAAGTGTTAAATCACAATATATCTGGCAGGTAAGGTTTAAGATTACTGAGCTAAAATATCTAATTTGTGAAATAGACTAATAGTGGTTTTTGACTCTTACCAAATCAGTATTAAAGTTTTTGATAATGAAATACTAAACATAAAAGGGAATTCAATCGTGTCACTATGGGGAGTCATGTCAATATGGGGAGCACATTTCAACAATTGCAGAGATTAAGAGGATTGTTATGATGGATTGATAACTGGTAGGCAACTTGTAACACCCAGCTGAACTGAATCAGTGTGGTGCTGGGTGTGGAGGGCCACCTAAGGATTGTTGCTAGCAGTGGAAAAAGAACTGGAGAGGAAGAGGCGCACTGGTTTCCCTGATATGAACTCGGCCGTTCCATTGTTGGAGGGGTTTGGGGCCTTATTGTCACTGAGGATGGCTGTGGTTCTTTTCTAGTCCTTTGAGTGTCGCTTGCTAGCTCCAGTGTGGCTCCTTTGGTCTGCTGGCACAGATCCTTCATTCCGCTGGCACAGACTTTCTAGTTTACACCACTGACCTTTGGGTCTTCCCAGCCCTGATCTATGAATGAAACAGACTTGCATGAGACATTACCATGCGCGCTAGGCCTCCAGTTGGATGGGAGTGGGGGTGGGGTGGGGTGGGGGTTGGCACAGTTTAATGGGTTCTAGGTCTTCAGCTGGACTCATGCAGGACATTGCTGTGGAATCCAGGCCCTCAGCTAGATTCTTCGGTCTTTAGTGTGTGGAGAGATTTTCCATACTCTTTTTGCATTTGACTCTGGGTGAACTGATTGATCAATCGATTGATTGTTCTGGGAATTGAACTCACAACTTCACACTTGCTAGGCAGGCGCTATATTTACCCAGCTTGGGTGAATATTATTAAATAATCCTATAAATTGTGTGTCCTGCATTAAATTGTTTTCTTTGAAAACCCTGACTACAACAGTAGTAGAA